GGGTAGAGTGCCCTCTCTGGGTCAGGGAGGAGGTCCTACCCCAAGTGGAGGAGTTCAAGTATCTTGGGGTCTTGTTCACGAATGAGGGAAAAATGGAGCGTGAGATCGATAGGCGGATAGGTGCAGCATCTGCAGTGAAGCAGGCGCTGTACAGGTCTGTCGTGGTGAAGAGAGAGCTGAGTCAAAAGGCGAAGCTCTCAATTTACGATCGATCTACGTTCCTACCCTCATCTATGGTCACGAGCTTTGGGTTGTGACTGAAAGAACGAGATCTCGGATACAAGTGGCCGAAATGAGTTTTCTCTGCAGGGTGTCTGGGCTCTCCCTTAGAGATAAGGTGAGAAGCTCGATCATTCGGGAGAGACTCAGAGTAGAGCCGCTGCTTCTCCATGTCGAGAGGAGCCAGATGAGGTGGCTTGGGCATCTGTTTAGGATGCCTCCTGGACGCCTCCCTGGTGAGGTGTTCCGGACACGTCCCACCGGGAGGAGGCCCAGAGGAAGACCCAGGACATGCTGGAGGGACTATGTTTCTCGGCTGGCCTGGGATAGCCTTGGGATTCCCCCGGAAGAGCTGGCCCAAGTGGCTGGGGAGAGGGAAGTCTGGGCCTCCCTACTTAGGCTGCTACCCCCGCGACCCAACCCCGGGTAAGCGGAAGAAAATGGATGGATGGATGGATGGATGGATGGATGGATGGATGGATGGATGGATGGATGGATGGATGGATGATTGTAAAGGGGGTAGGCGGATCGTTGCCCTAAATATAAAAAAAAAAGATGTGAAATGATGAAATTTTTACATGAAATTATGTTTACGTGAAATTATGTGAAATGGCCTTGTGAAATGATGTTTACAATTATATGCTGTTTACTGCAGCATAATTTTCATGTGACAGTATATTCAAAATGTGTACCAGTTAAATGAGGACTTATGGTGTCAAAAAAAAAACAGTGCAGAGCCATGGACATTCAAGTCATATTTATTTATTTTTGTTAGTTTTTATTTATGCATGGTCTCAGTGACGGCTATCACCGGCCTAAACTTGGCCTAATCCTCACCTGAGCTTGGAACTAAGCTGATTATCCACAGCCTCAGCGAGAAGGGGGTCTCTGCAGACCAAAAGTGGGCGTTTCTGGCAAATAGGCGTTTATGGACGGCGAACACTGATTGGCTAACAGTATTTAATAGGCGTTTGTCGGCGGCGAACACTGATTGGCTGTGGGTAACCCTCAAAGTCACGAGGATTATTGATGAGGTAACGTTTCTTTGCGATGTTTGACAAAGAAATATGATTTATTGTACTTATAAAGTATGTTATGTTTTCACTTATGCATTTTATTGAAGTACGTTTATTGTAGGTCACGATAGTTTCGACCGTTCTCTCGTTGTTGTTGTAAAGCACTGAGGTAAAGTGAGCCTCCACAGCAGCCCTCACTGTGCACGTTTACAACAACTGGGTGTTGCTTTTCAAAATAAAAGCTGAAATAAATGTTCTTAATACTTGAAAAATAAATATTTAAAAGCTGTGTATAACTGAAAAATATGAAAAACAAATAAATAAAAGTTGTTATTAGCTGAAAAACAAACAAATAAAAGCTGTTAATTATATCTATGTCTTTCTGCCATGTCAGGGACCACTCTCACTTCAGGTTGACTCTAGAAGACCCCAAGATGTTGCTCAACAATGTTGACCAACATCTGATGTTGACTTTCAAAATAAATCACCTCCAAAGTTTAACATAGTTCATAGTAATAGTCAAAAGTTGCTGACCTTGTTGCAACATGAGTTAACACGAACATGAGTGTAATTTGTCAATGATTCAATAATGAGTAATAACTTATTCAATAATAAGTCTGTAATTTGTCAATAATAGTCAATAATTCATTCAAGAATAGATTATGAGTGTTTGGTATGGCTCAGTGGCTAAAATGGGTTGGATGTTAGAGAAATTACTTAATTTTCAATTACCTGAATGCACAAATTCCTTCATTTATAGTTAAACTTTAGGAAATCAACTTTTTTTTTTCTTGTGAAAAAAATATCAAAATTACCTTTTGGTATTCATTTTGAATAGATTGGGGAAGGAAAACAGCCCAGGCCGTGTAGAACTGCTATTTTGTAAAAATGTTGTGCTTAGTGATCTAATCATATTTTTATTACAATTTCAGGTGTTGTGAAGTGGAGGAAATATTCTGAAGAGTTTCAGGCTGAGCACAGAAAGCCTTATGTCATTTCTGTATGCTTCAGCTGTGGAGAAGAATTTAAAGACTGTGCTGCAGGTTTCTGGGGCAGCGGCAAAAGAGGCGAGCTGAGGGCCTTCCACAGTGAAGCCATTCCTCCTGGGTACTGCAGCCACTTTGTGCCATGGATGCAGGTTAGTAGTCTAGCTCTTGTACTGTGATGCCCACACATTGCAATAAGTAACAACTAGCAACACCTTAACTGTGCTATGGTTTGTGTTTCCAACAGATGCTACGATGACTTCTAAAAATGGATGTCCCAATAAACAATAAAAAAAATTCAATGATGCATCAAATGTTGTCTGAGTATGTTTTAAGGTAATAACAAATGTGAAATCTGGAAAACAAAGAGAATTCCTGAATCTGTCTTGTGTGCTTTGATGTGTACATAAGTTTATTGGAGGTCCTGAAACAACTTTTCTGAGAACACAAAGATTTTTATTTTACCTTTGGCCAAGATGTCAGTTTGAAATCAGGCTGCTTACTGCAAAACCAAGAGGTTTTTTTAAGACAGACAGTCTTCATTTGTATTGTTTTGTCGACTAAGTTAAATGTAATTTCTAAAATATGGATAAATCTGATCTCATCATGCAGCATGAGCAACTGGGTACAGGTGTGAGGGCCAAAAGTCTGGTTATGTACTGACTCCTAAATGTGCTGGTTTTCTACTGAAACATGGAGTAGGTTTGACCTTTAAAATGTGAGACAGCTGAGGAAGTTAACCAGTAAACAGAAATACCTGCTCCAGTTGCAGAAATCTGACAGAACCTGAGAATCACTCATCTGCAGTGACTGCAGGTTGAACAAGAAAATGTGAAGTTAAAGGAAACCTCCTTTGTCCCAAGGCCAGTTTAAGTATCATTTATATTTTTCTTTCTTTATGAATCGATTGTAACTTTGTTCACATTTTTCAACAACCAAAATGGAATTTGTTTTTTTAATGTTATGGCTAGGTATTAAAAAAAAACCTAACATTTAGCTCTCCCCACTACCCAGTTATGTTGCTCTTATTTTGAAATGTAACCGGAAGTTCTGTGTTAAGAGAGTCGAAAAAAGAAGTTATGGAGACGTTGCGGCAGTATACTGGAGCGATGTCGAACCGAGACGCCGCTAATGTCGAACCGGTTAACACCATAGACATAATATGCCTGTGGTTAACACAATCTGCCAATAACGCCTTGTTTTTAGACATCATGTGTCTGTGGTTACGGCATTTTATCGTTCAGCCTTTTTTTTTCTATCGTTCAGCCTTTTTTTTTCTATCGTCCAATCAGATGTGGCCGTCCAGACACGCCCATTTTTCTATCGTCCAATCAGATCTGGCCGGCCAGAAACGCCCATTTTCCTATCGTCCAATCAGATATGAGCGCCCAGATACGCCTTCCGAATTTGCCTGCAGAGACCCCTTTTTGGCAGAGACCCCTTCTTGGCCTCAGCCAGTGCATCAGTAATGGCCAAAGGTTGCTGCAAACTATGAAATGGATTTCCTGAATGTGTGGCCCGTCTTATTACTCTGGGCTTCATGAAACACGCCTCCATCCAGTAAATCCATTCCACAGTTTGAAGCCAACTTGCAGAGCAGCCGGCAGGGAATGCAGAGACGTTTCAGCAGACACAGACATGCATCGTGGATCGGAAATCTCTGCAGGTTGGATCAGGAAATTCCGATACGGAAATAATGCTGGTATTGGAATATGATACCGAAACCAGATCAGCCCCATCCCTAGTTACTACCCTAAAACATAGTGTAAACGTGCACAATCACACCAGTGAGGGCTCACGTTTTCTAGTGGAGACTCACTTTACCGCAGTGAAAAAAGGTTTAATCCAAATACACGTAAGCACAATTATCGCTTCCGAATGTTTTGGAACATATTTTCTAGCCTGTGGATCAATCTGTGGTCGATTTGTCTTCGCTTGCTGTGAGAAGCAGCTAATCAGGCGTCAGGGTCGGTTCATGATCTCTTCCGCCCACTGAGTTTGACGAGTGAGACTGACAGTTAACATCATTTCATGGAGACACTGGGGGGTGGGAACGTGACAAAATTAAATAATTAAATAAATCATGAAATAAATTAAAAGGTACATTTCATTATTTAATGGTGTATTTAATAATTTAATTGTATGTTTAATGATGTAGTTAGTAATTAAACGATACATTTGTTATGTATTATGTATTTATTTCATTTTGTGACATTCCATCCTCCATCCATCCTTTGTTTAAAACATGTCTCTTGTAAATGAGTCCTCATGACTCAATGGGACTAATCTGTATAAATAAAGGTTGAAAGATTGAATAGATGAATAAAGCTGAACATTGCGGAGGCTGTTTTTTTTTTTTTTAAGAAATAAACTGCAAAGTAGGTGATCATCCATTGCACTCCTCCCTACAGCATAATCCTTCCACCACCGTGCTTTGCAGTGAGGAACATGTTCTCAGCTTCAAGATGTGGGAGATGTGTCGTTGATCAGTAAGTCTCATCTGACCACAGCGCCACCTTCTATGTGTTTGAGGATCTTCCACTTTGCCCTTTCACAAAATCCAATGAATTTTTTTCTGCCATTCTACGATGAAGCTCATTTTATTTAATTTACTGCATATAAAAAAAGTCAACGTACTGTTTGAGATCTGCACATAATTGCAATCTGTTTTTATTTGCATTTTACACATCATCACATTTTTTAAGTGTGTCTGTATGAAAACTTCGTTCAAAACCGCAAATTAAATGTTACCATAAAAATCACGTGACAGAAACCCACGGAGAGCCACATGGTCCGTTTATTTAAAAATGACTTTGGGTAAGTGGAGTCGTGTGAGCTTTTCAAGCCAACTGGATGGAAAAACTAAATAAAAATGAACATGAATACAAATTGAACAACATGCTGTAAGCACATCAAAACAGTCAGGCATGTACAATGTTCGTTCCTCTACAGCTGGGTTTTTGACAAAAATAAGGAGCTTCATTTAATTTTTATTAAGAAAAAAAAACAAAAACAGAAAATAAAGTAAAAATCTAGTCCTGTAAAATAAAGGTTGTTTTTTTTTTGTAAGAACTTAAAGAAAACAAATGCAATTCAGAATCTAGTGTTTTGTTTTTCCTCCCCAACACATTTGGAGCACGTGACGGTTCTGGGTGCAGGATTTGGTGGAAACAGACCAACAGTGTGAGAAATGACTGAAAATTGTCCGTGATGGTTGGGAGTGTGTGTGTGTGTGTGTGTGTGTGTGTGGGGGGGGGGGGGTCAGGACTCGGCCAGGGATGGCTGGCTGGGCGCTCCGTTGCGCGTGCGGAGCTGAGATTGGGCAATGTCGGCCAGGGCGTTCTGGATCTTCTCAAGCAGCATATCGCCACGGTAAACCACCTCCTCCAGACGAGCGGCCGCTTCGTGGTTCTCCTCCTCCAGCTGCCGGAGGCTGGCCGTCTGAGGAGTCACAGAGACTGAGAGTCACTGACCCATGCAGGAAAACATCCATTAAAGGAGCATTAATGTGAATGTTCCTGAACCAATCACTCTGCTGACATCCAGTTTTCAGCGCCCAACACTTCATGTATCAAAACGTTCGGCTCCTTCAGGACCTGCTCGGACTTTTGGTTTTTGAGCAACTTGTACTTTTTGAAATATTTATCTTTGTCAGCCATGTTTTTCTCACTTAAACTGAATGGAGCTCAACATCCTTCAAACTCTTTGTGCTGTTTACAACCCTTTACTGCTCCTTTCAGCTTCTTTCTGATAATTTCAAGTCAAATCAAGGTTCTTTATCATCATTCGCATCACATGTGGTACATGTGATGAAATTGTTTACTCAGGGTCCCAGTTACACCCAAAAATAGCAAAATATTAAGTGTAAAAAACGTAAATAAGGATCTAAGCTATAAACTAAGATATACGCTAACCGAACGCCCAATGGTACGCTAAAAGATCTACGGTATACGTTAGTCACTAATAGTGCAAAACAATACACCGAACAACAGCAGCACGATTCTCATGGGTTCGGTTCAGCTATACCAAAGCGTGCAATAAAAATACAGAAACGAGGTGCCAAAAGTGAAAAATAAATAAATCTACAGCCCACTAAAACTCACAGCTTTATGGGCGTTTTAGTGAAACCAATCATGTCCGTGCACTTTGAAGTCCCGCCCACAGAGTGTGTGTGAATGAGCTGACCTGCAGCGCTGCTGTGGACTCCTCGCTGGGCAGAGAGTCGATCAGGACGTCCACATCTTTGGCTGTTCTGGCTATTAGAGCTGCAAACAGCTGCGCATATTCTGGAGAAGGGGGGGAGGATTATTTAGATACTGACATGACAGTAAAATTGTACGTATATGCACAAGTCTTATAGGCTGCAAATAATTGACATAACTGATTATTTGTCCAGTTGCTGTCTACTTGATCAGATCTTAGTCTTTTGTCCTCATCACCGTTCTTAGAAAACGCTTTTCAACTGACTCTCCCATCAAAACATTTTCTGCTGAGGTTTCTGTAAAGTGAAACATGTTCCATTTCTGGGCTCTTAAATTAGATCATTAATGATTTTTTTCCCCCCCCTCGATAAAAAGGACCAGTCCCTTTTCCATCTTTCCTTTTCTTTCTTTGAACTTTAAAGGATGCACACTGCGCCTCATCCTGAGATGTGCCAAGACTTAGATTACCGTAGAAGCTTTTGGGAGTCACTTTTGTTTAGACAAACTCTAGTTTGAGTCTGTTTTTAGATCTTATCCATCCTTGTCTTTCCTAAGGAGAACCTCAACATCTTCATTTCTGCCACTTCCAGTTCTGTCCCCTGTCCTTCTGTCCATGTCTCTGTCTCCAGACCATACAACATAGCTGGTCTCATCACTGTCTCGTAAACTTTTCCTTCGACATTTGCTGACACCCTTTAGTCACAAATCACTCCTGAAACTTTTCTCCATCCACTCCATCCTGCCTGGACGCTCTTTTTCACCTACCACACTCCCCATTCCCAAACCCAGACCCACTCCCGTGGTCACGTGGATGCAGGACGTTTGTTTTCACACACTTTTCATAGTTCACGAGACACAGAGCTCCTGGGAAACCCCTCCCGCTGCTGCAGAATACGTCACCACACTGGTTTCTTCCTGCCACAGTCCTCTGTCCTATCAAGAAGAAAGCACCACACTTTCCAGCAGATTCCTCCATAAATTATGTCTGCACGATCTCCATCCAGGAGTTCTTGGCCATTTGACTAATTTAGTGTTTGAAGAGTCGTACAGCTGAATGTCCGAGCGCCCTTCCTCATTGACAAACATGCTCACAAATATATGAACAATCACAGAATACTTGGATCAGGAAAAGTTCGGCCCGGGTCTTGTGTCGAGAAGGGGCAGGTGAAGCTGCTCTGAGAACAAAATGGCACAATTATAGTCACGCAACTACGTCAATGAGAACAGATTTAGCTGCTTCAGATGGAGTACGCAGGGCCCTTTACTTCTTCAGAACAGGTCCTTTTGGAAGTCCCACATTCTAGTTTAGTTCATAACAGAGACTGTGTTTCTGCTCTGTAAAAGGCATCTTAAACAAAACATACACTATACTGCCAAAAGTATTCACTCACCTGCCTTGACTCACATATGAGTTTAAGTAAATAGTAAATGGACTGTACTTATATAACACCTTTTATCTTATTGAGAAACTCAAAGCGCTTTACACTACAACCCGTGTCCTCATTTACCCATTCATACAGCACTCTACTAGATCTCTACAAAGCTAATTGAACAAATCATTCTAAATAGACTAATCAGAGCTTTATCACATTCATACACCGATGGGACACACATCGAAGGCAGTGAGGGGTTTAATGTCTTGCCCAGGGACACTTTGACATGTGACTGCAGGTGGATTTGAACCCCCAACTCTTGCATTGGAGGACGACTGCTGTAACCACTCAGCCACAGCCGCCCTAAGTGACATCCCATTCCTCATCCATAGGGTTCAATGTGACGTTGGATCACCCTTTGCAGCTAGAACAGCTTCAACTCTTCAACTCATTCTGTCCACAAGGTTTAGGAGTGGGTTTATGTGGATTTTTGACGATTCTTCCAGAAGCACATTTGTGAGGTCTCATACTGATGTTGGACGAGAAGCCCTGGCTCTCAGTCGCCGCTCTAATTTATCCCAAAGGTGTTCTATCAGGTTGAGGTCAGGACTCTGTGCAGGCCAGTCAAGTTCATCCACACCAGACTCTGCCATCCATGTCTTTATGGACCTTGCTTTGTGCACTGGTGCAGTCATGTTGGAAGAGGAAGGGGCCAGCTCCAAACTGTTCCCACAAAGTTGGGAGCATGGAATTGTACAAAATGTCTTCATATGCTGAAGCAGTCAGAGCTCCTTTCACTGGAACTAAGGGGCCAAGCCCAGCTCCTGAAAAACAACCCCACACCTTAACCCCCCTCCACCAAACTTTACACTCGGCACAATGCAGTCAGACAAGTACCGTTCTCCTGGCAACCAGCCAAACCTACACGTGTCCATCAGATTGCCAGATGAAGAAGCGTGATTCATCACTCCAGAGAACGTGCCTCCACTGCTCTAGAGTTCAGTGGCGTCGTGCTTTACACCACTGCATCCCACACTTTGCACTTGGTGATGCATGGCTTGGATGCAGCTGCTCGACCATGGAAACCCATTCCATGAAGCTCTCTGCTCACTGTTCCTGAGATAATCTGAAGGCCACATGAAGTTTGGAGGTCTGTAGTGATTGACTCTGCAGAAAGTTAGCGACCTCTTCGCACTACGCTCTTCATCATCCGCTGACCGCGCTCCGTCAGTTTACGTGTCCCACCACTTTGTGACTGAGTTGCTGTCGTGCCCAAACACTTCCACTTTCTTATAACACAGCTGACAGATGACTGTGGAATATTTAGGAGCGAGGAAATTTCACGACTGGATTTGTTGCACAGGTGGCATCCTATCAGTTCCACGCTGGACTTCACTGAGCTCCCGAGAGCGACCCATTCTTTCACAAATGTTTGTAAAAACAGTCTGCACGCCTAGGAGCTTCATCTTATACACCTGTGGCCATGGAAGAGTTTGGAACACCTGATTCTGATCATTTGGATGAGTGAGCAAATACTTTAGGCAATGTATATTTTCCATATTTTTTAATTGCAATTGATGCTTTGGCATATTACACAATCTACATGTATTACACAATTTAGTATTTTTACTTGGTTTTATAGTTTATGTTCCTGAATATGTTTTTAGTGTTGAACTGACTCTAATGTTCTTATTTTAAGGCTTTTTTGGGTTTCAATCTTTGCTCAGTTCTAGCTGTTTTAAATGTGTTTCAGAGAGTTTGTCTGATGACAATAATGAAAAGGCTCAAACCTTCAGTGGGATTTGCTGGTTGGTCTTTGTTGATGGCTGTCTGGATGTTACTGAAGGATGCAGGGGGCGCACATTGTTGCAGAACACCGATGGCGTTACAGAACTGATCAGCAAGCTGGCGACAAACATTTAACTCATGAAGCAAAGACAACAGACGAACACAGCAGTCTGACACAGAGTTTTAACAACAAGTCTGTCAAACCAGAGTCACCATACCGTCCCTGACGCCTCAAGAGTTGTACGGTAATGTTTCGTTTAAACTCATAGCTTATTAATCTTACGGAACAACTGTTGTTGCTTAATTATTGTTAAATTGTAGTTAAATATTAAATTCATTACATAATATTATATTATTGGCGGTGTAAAATATTTAGCTTACAGAATTGACAGCATCCTGAAGTTGCGTTAGCCTGTCCGCCATGTTTTCCTGAGATGATGCCCAGCGGTGTTATCGCGAGAGTTCAAAGTCTCGTGGAAGTAAGTCTCGGAAGCTCAGAGTTAGCGGTAGCGGCTGCTTGAAGCCAGTCTCACGGCTTGCTTCATCTAACGTAGAGGGTTTTTAATTTATTGTTTTTATTACTTTTTATATCTAATGGTATTACCTAGCGCTTTGAGAAGGAACGGAACTGCAGCTGAGCCTTTTCTTGGGAAGTAATGTTAGCCTGTAGCTAACGTTAGCCACTAAACATCAACAGGAAGTAAACTCAGGCACTTTGAGCTTTTCAGGTACGACCGTCTAATTTTACAGTCATTTATCAGGAGAACTTGTTTTTTTGAACCCAGTTCGGTCAATTACAGGAGCCTGTTGGGCTGTAAGTTAGTAATTATGCGTGACTAGGTAGTATAAGTCATTTAATATTTTAGTAAGACTTGTGGTGCTAATTTAATGATGTTTGAATGACAAGCTGTTTTTGAAACCCAATAACACTATAATTATGATTTATCATTAATACAATGTATCACAACGTGATGATGCTGTTGAATTAGCACACAGGGCAGCTGTGACTGAACATACAAAGATAAGGAAGGATATCTTATCTAGGTTAGCAACAAGCTAACTATATAATTGTAAACCCTAACTTGAAAAGTCACGTATTTTACTCTTCATCATGTGAGGAAGTTTGGTTTGTTTCTTTTTACTTAAGGAAACAAGTGTTCATAGTAAAACTTTTACATTAAAAACAGTAAGACAATCATTTTCTATCTTTAAGGTCTTCCTTAGTCTGTTATAATTAGTTGCTAGTTGTGGTGCGTTCAAATACCTTAAACAAATCATGTCAAAAAAAGAGTCCCGTCACCTGCTTGATGATCAATTCACCTTATGAATAAGAAATAAGGGAGATTCGTCATCAAAGACAAATTTAATGTACTTATTTATTTTATTCTTTAAGCAAAACCCTGGATAAAATGTACTTTTAAAATGGCAGATTTTTTTTTTACCACATTCCCCATCTTTTACCCAAGAGTTAGTTATTGTTTTTAAATGCATTGTAAATGCACAATAATTTATTTATTCACTAACACTGAATATGAAGTGGTTTTATGTAAATAACTGGCTATGTTTTTATACCAAAGTGGATTTCTTCTTCATTGTTTGTCCTATCTGGGACCAGTATTTCCTCAGGTATGAACTGTACTTTAGAGAAGGTTCTGGCAGATGCCAAATCGTTGGTAGAAAGGCTCCGTAACCATGACAACGCCGCAGAGATGCTGATTGAACAGACAACATCCCTCAACAAACGAGTGGAGGCCATGAAGCAGGTAGGCTGTTACCACCAGGAGGCGATGTTTTACCTGACAGTTATGTGAGACTTTTCCACTTGAGAAGAGAACACTAAATAGAAAATTATATTAAAAGACGGACGTTTTTCTAATTGTTCATTAATTTCTGTTGGCAGTACCAAGAAGAGATTGATGCGCTGAATCAAGTTGCGCGACATCGGCCTCGCTCCAGTCTGGTTCTGGGGATCCAGCAGGAAAACCGTCAGATCAGAGAACTCCAACAGGAAAATAAAGGTAGACGATAACTGTTGGGGTTTACGCTCGTAACTTTTGAGCTAAGCATCAACCCAGTAGAGTCGCATGTATTCTCTTTTTGTACGACCCCAACTCTTGAAAAAGTTAGAATGTGATGTAATATGTAATTAAAAATGATTTGCAAATGTTATAAACCTTTATTTTATTCACAATAGACATAGTAAACATGTTAAATGTTGAAACTACAAAACCGTCCCATTGTGGGACAAAATAAGGTCATTTTTAATTTTCTGCCAGCAGCACACATCCATATTTTCCACCACGAAGCATCCCCTCTTCTTTTAACATGAGTCTGTAAACATGTGGAGACTGAAGAGATCAGCTGGTGGAGTTTTAGGAGGAATAATTATTGATGAAGGATCCTAGCTGTTCTGCAGTCCTGTCTCCTTTTACTGGATAGAAGCCTAAAACCTGTTTACCCTTTTCTGCACTGATGACCATCAGAGAGGCAGGCTTTTAAACTGAGATGATAACACTGGATGGTCCCATTAGTACCGGGGATGTGGCATAAGTGATTTTCATAAATAATTTCACATTTTGATTTGTTCTCCTGCCAATGACCTTTGACCCAAAGAAGCCAACAGTGTTCTAGGATGGCGTTCACACATGGCCTGTTTTTAACCAGTACTTGTCAACGGCACAGTGAACTGTGTTTACAGACAGTGATCTGTGGAAGTGTTCCTGAGCCCACGAGCGATGTCCAGAACAGAACCAGACCTGTTGTTAACGCAGAGACCTCTGAGGGTCCAAAGATCGCGACCGTCCAATACTGACATTCAGTCTGGTTTCTGCGGATTTTTGAAATCTATTGATGATTTTAGGAACATTAAGTAATGGAATATTCAAAGTATTCCCAAATTTCTGTTGATGAATATTCTTGAATTGTTTCACTGTTTTTCAATTCAGTCTTTTTGAGAACTTATGAACCTCTGTCCATCTTTACTTCAGAGCGATGCTGTTATGACCCGGCTCAGCCAGGAAAAGGGGAGGTAACATTAAAACCAGGTGGAATGAGGTTTTGAATAAAACTAGTGATTTTATTTAGTCAGTTAAACAAAATTAAACAAAAGGAGAGTACTTTCAATTCAATACAATTTATTTATATAGCACCAATTCACAACAAAGTTGTCTTAGGGCACTTTCAACGCGAACTGGTGTTGTGACCCAGACCTCTGGATGCCTCCTCCAGATCCAGGGTTCAGATCCAGGGTTCAGCCCCCATTAATGCGCTGCAGTTATTTAGATAGAGCAGCTTGCCAGTTTGTATGGGTGTCTTTGTTCAGGAAGCATATGGCCGCTTGTCCTGAGCCTGGTTCTGCTAAAGGTTTCTTCCTCATGAGGGAGTTATTCCTTTCCAGTGTCGCCTTCATGCTCAAGATGAGAGTTCTGTGATGGAGTTAAAGTCAAAGCAGTCTGCTCTTCAGATAAAGTCTTAAATTATTGTTTTTATTATTATTATTTAATATGTTTATTTTTGTGAATAAAATCTGTCTTTATGAGGTTTGAAAATCATTGCACTTTGACATTTGCACAACTGATTTGGGTTTGTATCACGCTTGATAAAAATAATTGTTTGCTCGGTACGTTAAGGAAACGTGACGATGACAGATGTACTTCTATAGCGAACAGACCAAATGTGTCTTCACTCCTCCTGCAGAGCTACGAGCGTCGTTGGAGGAACACCAGTCTGCGATTGAGCTCATCATGACCAAATACAGGGAGCAGGTGTTTCGGCTGCTAATGGCGAGCAAGAGGGAGGACCCTACCATCGTTACGCAGCTGAAGGAGCAGCACACCACGGTCAGTCACTGAGTTTCTATCCAGCTTTTGAATCTGTAATGATGACAAGACAATCGTTGCTTGGAAAAATTGCTCCACATTTTTATTTTTTGATCAATTGAAATCTTTGTAGGAAATGCAAGTACACTTAGACAAGATAAATGAGATGACCTCGGTGATGAGGAAAGCAATCGAGGTGGACGAAGAGCGGATATGTGAAGACGAGGAGAGGATTAAACAGTTGGAGGTAAAAGCAAAAATTAACCGTTCCAGATGTTTCTAAAGAGCTGTTTGTCAAAATGCACATTTAAATACATGTTTATTGCCTGGTTTAAACTGTTAAACTGCTGGGTAAGTATTGGATAAAAATATCTTCTATTCATTTTACTTATTCAAAGAAGCCACACTCGACAGCAGTGTTTTTTTTACCGCTTTTACTTGCAAGGGCAGACTTTCAGGACGGGTTACACGGCTGTACAGAAGTTACATGCATGGAGCCCAGTCAGGAGAATCTGCCACGGGCAGCGTGTGAGCTTCCTTGATAGTAGGAATTATGTGTGCAATGTTTCTGTTTATGACAGGGAGTGGGGGGTGGGAGGAGCACTATGTTTGTATTGGGCGCTAGTTTAGCTCCATGTTGGTGCCGGCAGTTGTAGCTGTTGTGGGGAGGGGGTATAGCACAGCGCTACATTAGTATTGTGTGCGGTTTGGAGTCTGAGCTGAGCTGCTAAAGTCCCCACTCCCCATTCAGAAGTGGCAGAGCAGAGTGGGGAGTGGGGGATTTGGTAGGTGGGGCACTCGGTTCTGTTGACAGGACGAGGTGCCCTTCTTGGATAGCGGCAGGAGAAACACTGATGTTTCTGACTGTGAAAATGTGTTTTTCATGGTATTTTCCTGTTCTGGTTTGGTTTGGCATTTATGTTAAAATCTCTGTTATTGTCTGTAAGCTGACACCATGAGTCAGAGACTGCAATAAATGGGGGGGGGGGGGGCACTGCGAAGGTGGTGATGTCACTGGGCTGCACGTGGAGCAAGCCCAGTTTGTCATTGTTGAACACATGCAACCACCAGACGGACTTTAATTACAAAAGACTAGAAAAGAAAAACAACTCCGTGTGTCCCAAGCATGTTTCTGCCATTGCATTTTATTTTGAAAGGATGACAGAGTGGAAACTATGATCGCAGGTGGGCTCAGTCAGATTATGCGCCTCCCCCTTCATGAAGCTCTAGTCACCAAATATTCATCAGTTTGAGTCTTCATATGTTGTAGCTGTCCCCTTAATAAAAAGTAACAACAACTGAAAGTATTTAGTGGTAGTATATTTTGAAGGAGTGTTGTGTTGTCGTAGTAAGTCTGTGCTGTTTGTGTGTTCCAGCTGGAGAACCGCGGACTCAGAGAGCTGCTGGGAATCAGCCGCGAGGCGTTCCTCATTCTGAAGAGAGAAGAGCTGTCTGAGAGCACGTCGCTGTCGCCACTGCTAACCAGCGCCGACGTTAGCTTACGGAAGAGTTAGAACGCCGCCTCCAGTGTACAGAGTGTACCGTCTGCTGCCACACGCCCAACTCACCTTTCCCCCCACAGACTCTTTAGGCGAAGCCTCCTAAAGCACGTCGCCTCAGAGCCGCCTGCTCGTTCACACGCGGGCGCCGCGCTTCTCCCGTTTCCGAAACGTTCGCTTGTTTACGCCCGCGATACCAGCCTGGTTTTAAAGGGAGAACGAGCGCAAACCAAATAAATCTGCAACCATCAAACTGTGTGGGAAGACTCATTCAAATGTTCTGGTTCTGGTTCAGTGGGCTTTCTTCAACTTCTCACCTTCACCACTGGTGTTGAGAAGAGTTTTAAAAAGGATTCGAGAGCAGATCTAACAGCGTGGGCTTCAAACACCAGCTTTGTTGTTTTGAAAAACATCAGTGAACACATTAAATATTTATGGCAATTAGAAATTATCAACAGTAGATATTAGAATAATGTAAATAAACAAAATTTTATGAGAAAATGTGCTTTTATGTATAAAACCCACAACTTATCTCTGGATTTTTTTATTAATTTGTGAACGTTATTTTACAGACACACGTTTTACAATTATATGAAAATTTGCTCCCTAATTTAAAACTGTTTAAAAGTTCAAACTGACATAAATATAAAATGACAGGAAAGAGATATAGCCTTATGTTTAGGAAGTGAAACGATAAAATGTTTTTGTCACATTTAGACCTGTCACTATAACAAATTTTGCTGGGCGATAAATTGCGTCAGAAATTATTGCGATAAATGATAATGTTGTTTGAAATTTGACAATAATTGTAAAATTTTAGAAGAAATGTTGATTTGTTTGGTTGTAGTACCTTTTTTGACCACCTGATGGCAGTATAAGACTGAACCAAAGGATGGATAGTTGAGCACTTGTCTCTGGGAGGAAGGGCCCTTGAGGTGACGTGTCATGGCGGATGCTCGGTGATTTGAGCATAGCATTTTTACAAACAGACCTTTTAATAAACAAATCAGTAAACAAGTTCTCTTCTTTTTGCAGAATAAAAACAACTTTTTACATGAATGCACGGGTTTCAACTGTGAATTTTAGTTTTTTCCCTGAGGTCGGCCAGTTAGCTTAGCTTCTCAGCTTGGCTGCTTTTAACAATTAAAAAACATGATTTTAGACGGTTAAAACAGATTTTAAAGAGAAGGGGAGGTGTCGGTGAAGAGCACCGGAGTTGAGTTTTTTGTCATCCAGTGTCTTCAGTAGAGAGAGAAGAAGAAACGATAAAGCCGGTAAATGAAAATGAGGTTGATAATTTTCACTCGTCATGCGATTAATTGATTTATTGTTTATCGCGACAGGCCTCGTCACATTGCTTAAATTGTTTTTGTGGATTTTTCTACACATTTCGATGGTTTCAAGCATAAGGATCTAAAAAGTTAAGATTTGACGAGAGTTTTAGTCAAAACGACGAGTTAGAAGTGAGGTTTATTGGGTAGATTCTGAATAAATATCTTACCTGTTGTAGAACACTCACTTTGGAGCAGATGTTTAACCAGATTCAAACCAGATCAAGATTAAGATCTCATCTAAGCGGAGGACCCCTGGGCAAAAGTAAACGGCACATGTCATAAAAGAATTACAAAGTCACAAACTTAATAAAATGACGAAACATTTGAACAATTTAAACAATCGTAAAAGGTTAAAACTAATAAAAAATAAGATTATTTAAAACACTGATTAATGGGGCTGAGCAACTGTTAGATCTTTGTGAGAGTGAACCCAAGTAAGATGGAGCCTGGCCAAGCAGAGTCCTATCTAAAACATCCAGGGAGGACCACGTGACGAACAGACGCTTACTGTTCGTCTCCTCTCTGGGTCCAGGTAAAACTAGAGATAATCTGCCGTGTGCAATGTTCCCTCTAATTTTTCATGTTGAGCAAACACACAAGCTCCCTAAGCGCACTGAGGACCACTGTGATCAACATCAGACGTGCACGCTGCAGCCACACCCAGTATTCTTGTCGTTGTTGTCCACTGTTGTCATCACTCTGTTAAAATCAGGTCTCTCTTGTAAATGAGTCCTCGAGGCTCAATGGGATTAACCCGTATAAATAAAGGTTGAATGAATGAATGAAAAGTATCACACCTGTTCAAAACCTGGGATCACATCAAGTTACATGGTTTATTAAAAGAATCAAATTACAGCAGCAATTGCCATTAGCTTACTTTTAATATAAGTGATTTAGCCCACTTCAAATGAAAAAGACAAAAATCAAGTTCCTTTACTGTCATTAACGTCACACGTGTTGGAGCGATATTATGCACACGGTCCCAGTTACATCCAACAAAAGTATGAACTAAAGAAAAACCGTCATAAGAGCTAAGATATGAACTAAGAATACACTAAACATTAATAGTGCTAAAACAACACGCCGAACAACAGCAGAACGAACATGAGTCTGTGTGAGCAGATGAGGACGAATGAACACAGCAGCATGAAACAAATCAGCAGCATGAGATCAGCAACATGGATAATCAGCAGCACATATCAAGTGGCATTACAGCGGTTATTCTGGTTAAAGATTCATGAGTCTAACAGCCTCAGGGTAGAAGCTGTTCCTCTGTACTGGTTCTACTACTGCTCCTCAACCTTCTGCCTAAGGGGAGTGGGGGGAAAGTGTGTGTGCTGGGTGAGTGGGGTCCTTCATGATGCAGGTGGACCTCTTCCTGCATCTGGTGGTGCCACAAATCTTGTTGTTCGTGAGGCGTGTAGTATGTTATATATGAGAGTCCTGCTCTGGAATAAATGAGACATACTGTATACACCTTTCAGACATAACATTTTGTTCACATTAAAACATTCACATTTTGCACAATGACGTGTGCAGTAGATTGTGATACAGTGTAAATTCCTGTAACTCTTTGTCAGTAAAAAATCTAATTACACGGTTTTTTATTAGCATTTCTACTGCCCATACATTATCTAGTAGTAACAGTGTTTAAGGATTAATATCCATTAAAAAAAACAATAAATGTCACTAGAATATGAACTTATCTGACTTAAATTACTTTATTTTTCACGTCTGTCCTCACTTCTCCAGTGGTTGTACACTTTGTCCAGGTCCAGCTCTGTCTGCTTCTCGCTTTGACTTTATGCACATCAGCTGATCCATATGTGCCACTTCAAGACGATTTCTGGAGGCTGTTTTGATACGATTCATTAAACTAAACCCTCTTTCACAATCTGCACTGGGAGCTTGAAATGTAGCACAAATATCCACAGGCTGTGAGATCTCCTTTAGCGCCTCACATAAGTGCTGCAGCCACCATATCTGAGAAGGTGCTGATTGACCCCTGTTTGAGTTTTTGCTTCATTATGAACTTGAACTCAGTTAATGGCCTCCATAGACTGTGGGTGGTGGAGAATGGTCTCGTACTTCTTTGCCAGTGTGGCAATGTCTGCTGATCCGTAGTTAAAACATGTCTGAGCTCAGTGCTTCAATGTCGAACGCAGACCACTCCTTTAGTTCATCCTCTGGAAAACGAGCATCCTTGTGATCGTGGAGCTTGCTAATAAAACCAGTAATCTCACCAGTATTCCTGCCATCAGCTGATGAGATCCCTATTTCTTTGACACGCTCACTCCACTGCACATCCTTCTCCTTAAAGTAGTGGGAACACAACTTCTCAATCTTGCTCAAGCAAAGCGGTGCCCTTCCATCACTGTCAGGCTGCGTCTTTGTAAAGAGAGGCAGAGTTGTGCTAGCTCGCCCAAAACATCTCCCACAGCGCTGACAATAACTTCGAACTTTGAATCACTCAGCTTTTCGTAGCAGTACTTTACCACTGGATCTCTGTTATCAGTGAAAGCTCTTTTGCAGAATTCTTCAAGCACAGTGTAGTTCTTCAGACCAGCATTCACAGCTCGGTGCCGCGACAGCCATCGCACTTTGTTCAGAGGCCTGAATGACACGTGTCGTCATCAAGAGTCTTTGCTAGGTCCTCCGTTTTGCCCTTACACAGAGGATAGAGAGATAATGGAATACACAGTACTAAGAAGAGTTTCCACATCTCGCATCAAAGGCACATCTTTCCAGGCATCATCAATGCCCAAGTCCTCTATGGGCCACACAGAGTCGTTCCGTTAGGTGTGGTATTTGGCGCATTAACAAAGCCACAACTCAGTTGAGTTTTCCCAGCATTACTGAGGAACCATCGGAGGTCAGCATCACTATTTTCTGCATGTCCAGTCCATGTTTGGAGTAAAACTGAGTTATTGACTGCACAATGTCCTGAGCAGTGCATGCTGTCAGCTGGATGGCGCCACCAAACACAGTTTTATAGTTGACATCATGTTCCTCCCTGTATTTAATATATATGACTAACATTTTGTGTACTGTTATGTCTGTGCTCTCATCTATTATCAGGGCATGCCAGGGTGCATTTTTAACACTGCACTGTCTCACTGACAGAGTTCACAAATTCAAAGGCATAGCTTTTGCTTTGCCAGCTTTCTGGGATACTCACATACGTTGCCACGTGATCGTGGATTTGTTGAACTGACAGCATTGATGCTTTCATTTTGATGGCAAGTAGAATATTATCAATAACAACTTTAACTTGCTCGGGGTCAGATTTTGTTTTGTGCGACAGCTCTTTCCTTTTGTCTCGGTCTCTTGCACGCTCTCACAATAATGTACCAATTCCCTGTCCCATCTTGAGTCTTCGTATAATTCCAACAACTTTCAAATGGTTTTTCTGCTGAATGTGACGCTTGAGATAGTCCAAGTTCCAGTCAGTCCACATTTTTCCCTCTGAAAACTCGCTAGCACATTTAGCTTCGTTGCATATTTTGCAAAGCTTCTCACTGGAAAAAGAAGCAATCTCACCCAGTGTCACCGGCGCTTGTTCTTCCATTTGCAGATACTCTGTGACATCTTAAAAGAACCGCATTTCTTTTTTATTTTAGCTTTGTGAGTGGATTGCTGAGGAACAGCTTCTACCCTGAGGCTGTTAGACTCATGAATCTCTAACTAGAATAATCACTGTGAAAAATCACATCATGTTGCTGCTGATCTGTTTCATGTTGCTGCTGATCTGTTTCATGTTTCTGTGTTCATGCATGTTCAACTGCTCACACAGACTCATGTTCGTGCTGCTGTTCGGCGTAATGTTTTTAATCTACTAGTGCTTTGTGTATTTTTATTTTTTTCTTAGTTCATATCTTAGTTCTTACTACCATTTTTCTTTACATTTTAATACTTTTGTTGGATGTACAGTAACTGGGACACTGTGTACACAATTCTGTTCCACCACATGTACCACATGTGCTGTGTATGACAAATAAAGAACCTTGAATCCTGCCTGTTCGTTTCACCATGATGAGAGTTTAGAATTTGCCTCTTTTCTCCTCCTCGCTGTTGCAACGCAGTGTTGCCAGATAGAGTCGAGGTTTTCCAGCCCAAAAATCTTAAAAACCGCCACATCACACAAAAATCTGCCCAATCAATATATCGTTACAGTATATTTACTGTCTGAACATGAACGCACATCAGTACAAGCCAAGGTAATTTAACAATATGTGGCAAAACGCAACAATCCAACAAATACCTTTCCAGAGTTCCCAGCAAAATAGAATGAAAACCGCCCAATCTGGCAACACTGCCTGCACGGCGTCCCGACACTTATGGGCCGTAATTTGCGTAACGCACGCACTGTAAATGCTATGATTGACTGCATAGCTGAAGTGAACCGTATTATATCATATTTTTCATTCAACCTTTACAGGTTAGTCTCATGGGCTGGACACCTGTCCCTCACTGGGTTACTTTGCAAAATGGTACAGACAAAAACTTTATTGGTCTAATTAATTTACAGTTTATGTTGAATTTTATTTTGTGCGCGGAGAACGTGCGAGCAGTTTGCGATTGCGCAGGCGCGCCGCTTAGAGGGAACATTGATTATGCATCCCTGATGTAGTAGTTCGTAATGTACTTGATGCCCTTCCACATGCGCCAGGGGTTGTTGGTGATGAAGTGACCCTGAATTTTCTGGACGTATGTGGCTTTGGCCCTTGCAATGCCTGCAGTCAGTCTTTTCCTTGCCTCTTGCTGATGCCTCACCTGTCCTGAATGCAGCGTCCCTAACTTTCAGCAGAGCCCTCACTTCAGCGTTCAGCCACAGTTTCTGATTCGGATAACAGGTTTCTGTCCTGGTGTCGATGACGTCATCAGCACACTTGGAGATGAAGCCAAGAACTGAGGAGGTGTATTCCTCCAGGTCCACCTCTCCCTCATATGTAGCCGCCTCTCTGAAGACCTAACAATCTGTGCACTGAAAACAGTCGTGGCGCACAGAGGCTACATCCCTGGGCCACACAGTGACTGTCTTCTTTGTTGGCCTTATCAGTCTCATCAGCAGATGATATGGTGGCACCAGCAGGATTGAGATGTTGTCGGAGACGCCAAGATGGGGGCGAGGAAGAGCTCTGTATGCACCGCAGATGTTAGTGTACACACAGTCCAGACTAGTGTTGTCTCCCCATGTAGGAAAGGTGGCATGCTGGTAAAAACTGGGCAGAGTGTCCGTCAGTTTCACATAGTTAAAGTCCTCCGCAACCACGTAAAACACCTCCTTTTGGAGTTACTAAAGAACTGCACCTGATTGGACGAAGGTATCAGCAGATTTATAAAGCAAGTAGATATAACTGTCCCTACTGCTAATCACAGACATGGATGTAATAACAGCAGGCAGATTGTGTGAGCCGGTTCGACATTAGCGGCGTCTCCATAACTTCTCTTTGCGCCTCTCTTATGGTTGTTGAATAATGTGAAAATAGTTTAAATCAATTTATAAAATAATAATGATGCTTAAAGTGGATTTGGGACAAAGGATGTTTCCTTTAACTTCACATTGTCTTGTTCAACCTGCAGTCGCTGCAGATGAGTGATTGTCAGTTTCTGTCAGATTTCTACAACTGGAGCAGATATTTCTGTTTACTGGTTAACTTCAGCTGTCTCACATTTTAAGGGTCAGTCCTACTCCATGTTTCAACTCCTTTCATAGATCACATCTCATAGAAGAACTTCTAAAGAGCACATTTTGTTTTTAGCGTTTGTTTTGGGCCATTTTCTCGTTACAGGACTCATGATCTTTAATTGAGACCAGACTTTTTGACAAATAGGAGCAGGTTTCACTTCAGATGCTTCATATTTCATTGTACCCAGACCACACTCAAGCCAACCTGTGTCAGGTGCAGCTACAACCAAGAACAAAAGAGAATCTTCTTGTGTTTGACAGCAGATAAAACGCTGTTTCTTAGAAACCTTCAGTTTAAAAAAAAAAGAGCTGACGTAATTTAAGAGCCAGCAAATACAGCTAGCTGCTGCTATTGCTTGTAAATGACCATAAAATATTATATAACAAAAACATTAAAAACAACGAATAATTATATAAAGGTATAAAAACAGCATTTGCACGAACTGTTGTGAAACTTTTCATGGGGTTTTATGACTGTGCCCATTTATATTTGTCCTGGTTCTGGTCAGTGTCCTGAGATGACTTCTGTTGTGACTTGGCACTATATAAATAAACTGTATTGAACTGGTCCCACTCGGACTAGCCATTAGCTCCTCCATCTGGTCAGAAATAGACTTTATTTCTCCAAATTGAGGTGAGTCAAAGAGTTATCTGCAACAGGTAAGATGTTAACTGTTTGCATTTTTTTCTTTTTCAACAGAATCCCACTTATGAAATAATCTGAATTATTGCTTAAAGAGTCAGATAATACTCTTTCCGCATAATATTATAATGATTTTTACACGTAAATATTTACAACTCCAGCCTGTTTGTGCGAGCTCACTTTGTTTTTAATTTTCTGTTAAGTTTGGACATGTAAAAAAGAACAGCTGTTCTGGTTAACCAACGTCACGATACTATGAAAATATCAATAGACAGACACAGAAAAAAAAAATACCGCTTAGTTTTTTTTATTTCTATGTTTTTTGTCCATTCTTCGAGGGAAGCGGGAGGTTGAGATATCGCGAGACTTTGCGAAATTTTCAGAAAAGCGCCGTTGCTAAGCCGCAACAGCGTTGCCAGATATATAATTATTGCATTTAAACAAGAGTTTTTAGGCTCTATGCTATGTAAGATAACTAATTTCATTACATACACAGTTGTTTTGGAATTTCCCCGCATAGGAAAAATAACACACATACATACGTACATACTATAGTTTTATTTAAAATACGGTACTTTTCACGTGATTTGCGAGAGTTCGTCATCGCTTATCTGGCAACCCTCCGCAGTTGTTGGAGCAGAGCGAAGCGTCTTTTTCACTCGCAGTCGGTCCAGCATGTCGTCTTTCCTGTCGATGGGACTAAAACACAGGTGGCTGCGGTGTTTCAAATGATTTCTGATGGCAAACAGAAGCCTGGTTGTCGAGTGAAGCGGATTAAAGCAATGTCTCGCTGGGTTTGGTGTCTGCCGCTGCTCCTGGTGCTGCTGGTCCGAGCTCAAGAAAGTGAGTATTGTGACCAGACTGTCCAGTTTGTGTTCGCCATTTAACTGAAACTGGCAAAAGTACGATTGTTAACAGCTAACAGGATGGGCTGACGTCTCTGTCTTAGTTCTTTGAGTGAACCCTGGAGATTTAGTTGCACCTGCAGCACATTTAGTTTGAACATTGTATATTAAACATGTTCCTGTGTGTGTAAGAAACAGTCAAGCTTAATTAACAGGCTAAAATTAGCAGAGTTTTTAATGAAAAGTAGCTGAAAATAGCAGGAAAAAGCTGAACTGAACAGCAGCTAAAGGTTTAAACAGCTTGAAGGATGTGGAGCTCTGTTCATTTCAGTGAGAAAAAAAAAAGGCAGAGAAAGCTAAATATTTTTAAAAAGTAAAAATTGCACAAAAGTCAGAGCAGGAATGTTCAGATTTATAAATTGTTGAAAAGAAAAAAACGAATTGGGTGCTGAAAAAACATGAATAAATCTTAGAGAGAATGTTTTTATATTATTGAAGTAAAGTTTTCTCAGTACATCTTGTTTAGCAATCTGATTTTATCTTTTTTTTACTGACGCGTAAAACAAACAAGTGAAAAAATAAATAAATGTGAGCATAGTTGTGAGAAGTGAGTGGAGGACATTAGAGTGAAACTCTTGTGTGTTTTATTATTTTCATCACAGAGAAAAGTTGCTCGTGTCCATGAGCACGGCGGGAGTCAGACATCTTGCTTGGAGAACTTGAACTGTAGGGTCTGATTCTTTGAAGTTTGATATACTCTTTTGTTCTCGTCTCAAACAGAAAAAACAGGAGCTTCAAACTTGGTTTTCTCAGCTCCAAAGTCAACAAGCTCAGCATTAAGTGTGTTATGCTTAAGAAAATGCACAGTGGCGGCTCTTCCTCTCAGCACGTAGCTGCAGAAGAGCAGGAGCGACTCTCAAAACACGTTTTGAATGACGGGACCGCTGCTGCCACTCAGATTTACATTTCCTGTAATAATTCAACCAGATCACGTTTTTTGGGTCAGTATCCACCTAAAAGTCTCATTTTAGCCTTTCAAGAACCAGAGGACCCCTCCCCCGCCCCCCCCCCTACAATC